CACCTGTTAGTGGTTTGTTGATGGCTTCTACAGAAGGATTTTTCGTGCACCCTTTCGATACCATGCCGACTACGGTAGCTGGACCGCACATAAACCGCAAATTGAGGAAACTCAAGTTTAATCTAGGTTCAGATACAGCGGTTACGAAATATCGTCCTTCTAACAGCGTTACACCGGATTTCATTTGAAATCTTCTCGAAATGCAGTTTTCGCTTTTTGACAAAAACGAATGGTGTGAATCTCTACAATGCAGGTAAAAATAATATGGAATTTTATTAGTGTCCAGAGAGGCCACTGATTAACACATTGACGACAACGCGAGTTTTGGCTTTTTTGGCCACGTGGGACCGCGGCGATTTTGCGGGCGCGCTCGCCTCAGGTCGTTCAAGCAGATTTTGAGTGATAAATACACAACTAATGATCAATTCAAAACCAAATCAGTAAATTGTAATGAGCGCAACCTACCAGGGGTACAGTAGTGGAATTTCGATCGAAAGACATGGAATAACAATGAAAAAGCGAAATTTTCAGAACTAGCTGCAATGGACCTCAAAAGCAATTTTACGTTGATTATTCCAATCAAAACACACATATTGTCATCCCTAAGGTTCCTTATCTACTTCTACTACTATTTAAATCTTCACATTAATAAAAAGAAAAAGTAAACGAAAAATTTATTGAAATGAAGATTTCGTATGGTTCAGAAATCCTCCTCTAAAGTATACGTGACCATTCTAAGGGCCACTATGTTTGTAGCTACGTCAAGGTCTCTTCCATGGAATGAATACAAGAAACTTCTAAAAGAATCAGGCGTGCGCGAAAAAAATGAGTGTAATGGGTGCGGGGGATATATATCCCGCACGGTCCGACATGGCCTGCAATGCGCGGGATATATATCCCCCGCGTTGTCGTCAATGTGTTAACATTGTGAAGGCGTATCAAGGCCAACTGAACGACCGACCTTTCGAGGTCAATCTTCAGACAGAATAAGTTTATGTGAGCGAATCACTCTAAATTGTGAATTGGTCACTTTCCCAAGGAGTTGACAGAAATCATATCTATGTGAACTCAGGAATCTATGCATAGGAGTAATGCACGGCGCATAACACAGCTGAGCTGTTGATTGCTTTTGATAAGCCTTTCAGTTTGTAGCTCAGGAAATTCATACAATTTTTTGACTAAGGCTATGCAGCCGAAAAGCGATTAATGTTGTCTTCGGAAGATAAGAATGAGATGAATAAGAAGAAAGAAAAAAAATGAGAAGAAGAAGATGGAGATTTTGAAACGGTGATATTCATGTATGATGAAGAGTAATGTGATGTTGCACATGTATGACTGGATAATGAAGAAGTATATGCCCAAGAAGAATCTAGCAGTTACAAATATGAAAGTCAAGAGGAACTGAGGGAACGTTGTCAGTAATTCATTGGGCCGTGACGAAAATGGATGGCCGTTCCGGATCTTTTCCAAATCAAGCAAATAACGAAAAAGGTAAACATTTTGAAGGACGTACATGCTATTGGCATCAGCGTGCAAAAATGTCTGCACAGCTGCTTCCATACCGTAATGTAGCTCTTCGATGAGCTGAAACTGGCGTTTCCCCTCAAAAAACAACCCGTCAAAAGCGTTCATGGGACATAACCGATTATATACACGATTTCGACATTAATGAAAAACGACCTTCATTGATCACGTGATGCGCCACGCAGCCTAGCCCCAGTTGAGTTTTTAGTTCGTTGGAATGGTTGTGCGGACTCTTCAGCGACTTGCAAAGCGTGGCGCTCAATGCAATTTTTCCCTTCCTTCTTAACAATCCTCAACACGTAATGTAAGACGTGCGCCACAGGTTTGTACATGATTTCCTCATGCTTTTGTAGTGTATTAATGTACTATTTATTGTAATGTACTTCTGTTTGTATTTCATTTCGAATATGCCCATACATGAGGAATAACATATGCTCCAACGACCTGGACGACTCACTTTGTTTTCATTTTCCAACTTTTTCTACTTGATGAATGGTCCAAACGTCCCGTGTTTCCTTCCATAAAAAATAACCACTTTCCTTGCTCAGGGTTGTTGCTTCGTACTTTTCGAAAATGTCACCTGCAGCTCGATTCATTCCTTGCACCTTAAAGTTGTCGTTTGCGGGCATCACTTTTTTCCAATAATCACACACGGAAACATGCTTCGGCCTGTTTCAACCCCGCTGTTCGCACTAGTCCACTTTATTCCTACATTGAGTGGTGGCGTGCACCACATGGTGCTCACGCAAAAAACCCTGCTTTCCGTTATGTGTTAAAGATCGGTGCGGTATCGTATAACCCACTTGAGGAATTGAAAGGTCCCATCTCTTGCTGGATTCGGGTCTCGTAAACGCTAGCATACGTCAGTCACTAGTGTCTAATATTTTATTGAAAACGCGGGCATTGCTGCCTCTTATTCCTCTTTGAGTCTGATTCGCATTCCTCAACTTAACCAAGGCTTAGTTAAAGTATTTGATGATAATAGTTACCCATACCGGTATCCAAAAAGTCATTGCCAGAGACTTTTGCACAATGGTGCTAAACTCTTGTTCCTGCACATTTTTTTAAATGAAAACGTGTATTAATTAAAGATTGGTTCAAAATTGCTACTGAGTTCATAGATGGAATCGGAAAAAACGGTGATTTCTCTTCAGTCGTATTGTACACATCACTTTACTCTATACTACTTTCATTGGGCGGAAGTGGTGTAGTGGCAAGTGGCACGCTTACCACGCGAGCGGTCCGGGGATCAAATCCTGGGTCGTGAGTCGCCCGGGCCAACCAAGCCTTCCATCCCTCCGGGGTCGGTTAATTGGTACCAGACTTGTCTGGGAGGATAAAAACACTGACTTGTACATCGGCTGGCCCCGCAAGTCATTGTATAGGCCACATCGCATTCAAACGCCACTACGAATGTACAAATGGAAGTAGAATGCGTGCCGCATCCCAAAAAGGGATTGATCAACGGCAAATGCTTTATCCTTTATCTACCTTATTACTAAGTGATTCGATTCACAACGAGTCACTTAGTAATAAGGTAGTATAGAGAATGTAAGATTGCAGAACGCTTCTTCAGCCCGCAAATCGAGACTTGCTAACAGCAAACAGACTTGCACACGTCAACCTCAATTAAAGGTCAGCTCATTTCAATGTGAAAAGTCGAACCAATCATTTTGCACTCGAATACTTGGCTAATTAGCATTTTTGTTCGTAGGCTTAGCTGCAGAGCTTCTGAAATCGAGCACTACACATGTGTTAGATGTTCCGCTGGTGGTGTGGAATTCAAGGTATGACATGAATCATTTGCGCCCATTGCTGGATTTGCCATTGAGCGCCGATTCACGAGAAGAAATCCAATTAGCTTTTCTAAGAGTCCATTCTTCCGAGGTTCTCCAACTCCCTCTGCTGAAGGAGGTTGGGAAACTTTCCTTGACAATTTAAGTCTTGTAGGGTTCAAATAAAATCCAGATGTTTTGAACTCCTGTCTTTACGAAACAACGATGTTTGCTGGTGCTAAATGAAAAAGCAGGTTGCTTACTCGGTATTTTTAATATAATAATTTTGAAATGTTGTTCGGTTGATACGTAATTTTCAAGATTCTTCTATACTTCAACAGATTTCTGCTAGGACTGGTGAATAAAAATTAGCGAATTCTATCTTCTTTCTTCATGGTGCTTCAGCGTTGATGTTTATTTTTGTATGTTTCCCGTGCCTAGAGGTCAAAGGTGAGTCTTCTTCAGAGGCCCGACGTTCCGACTAGATCCTCTTCCTAAAAGGTTTGATAGGGGCTTAAGGTAAGAGAAATGCCTTCTTAAGCGCCCAACGCGTTCGCTCCATAGAGTTTAAGGTCAACCCCTGAGGAAAAAACAACGAAGCTCTTGAAAGAAGGAGATCAGCTGAACCAGTCATCACCGCAGGAGAGTGCTGCGTGCATACTACATAAAGAGAGCGCATATACACACTGCCGCCCATTTCTACTGGAACAAGAGGATACTGCTCACAGCAAAAATGGAAAAATCCAGCCATTTTGTTTGAACGTTAGTTGTTCAAGTTGAGTTTCAGGAGTTTTCACTTCAAGGATAGTGCTGGGTGCTCGAAGTTTCTGAGGTGGGGTTCTGGGCTCGATTAAAGTAGGGTTCGGGGTTGGGCGTGTTCACCTAGCCCATATCTGGTTCTGTTACACCAATCGTTGATTTTGCGGCCCCTATGCGGCTTCAAGGTGCGCGACAAAGTTGGAAATTTGCTCTACAGCAATCTCCACCTTGACCCGCAAACCCCGCCTTCCGCTGCCGGCTGTCACGCAAACGGCGCGAAAAGAGCACGGCCGCGGTCACGGTAGTGTTACTATTGCGGTGCGTCACTGGCAATGGAAAAAATGGAGCCAGCCATTTGTGAAACTCCTCCGAACACGATTCCCCATTCCGAGATGGATTGCGGCTGAAAGAGAGGGGTTTTCCTTGTTTTCCAGTACCCATCCCACCTCCAGCTTCGCTATTGAACGCCCCTACACACTTGTTGCCTATACTCTTGCTTGGGCTTCACTTTAAAAATCCTGGCATAATTGCGGCACCGCCAGGCAGCACTGAGTTGTTGTGTAGAATAAAAATAGAGAAATGAGAGCAGAGACTGCGACTTCTTTGAAATGAAACATGTTTTGGCAAATTCGTTGTTCCATTTTCAACATTGATCAGTATAAAATATCAACACATGAGCAGATTTTATCCATTATCACATAGGACATAAGACAACGCACACAGGTCATACGCACAGTTTATACCCAGTATATTCAAGAAGACTTTGTCCTCTGAGTCACCTGTGAGATCAACTTAAACTATTTTTGACAGTTGACGTGAGAGCGCGATTAGACATTAAAACTCTCGATGAGCGCAGTGGCGAAACAAAGCTACCACAGCCGAAAGGAGTCATTTGAATAATTAACGTCTTGAATTCATACATTAAAACTACATATGGAAAGTTCATTGCATCATGAGAGACTTAAGATTCTGCTGTAAAATCGTGTCTCGCACGTCTATGAATACTCGTCTTATATTTTCAGTATCAATGGCAGTTGTATAGTGATAGAAAAATGGACGAGCACGATCCTTTCGCGACGTCTCGAACTTGTCGACAAGAAAGAACTGCACATCTCTGACGTTAAGATGATCTCCTGTGAAATCGGAGAAGTACTGCCGGATGTCGGACTTCGGCACTTTCTCTGAAGCAATAAATGAGAATTATAATTACTAAATTTGATTGCATTACTTCCGTTGCTGGGTAAAAGCACTGTTGGGTAGGTTGCTAAAGCGCTGTTTCCAAGAACAAGTAGCAATACTGATCGAACATGCGCGAGGAAGGTTCTTGAGCCATGTCAGTTACGCTGCTGGGTGCTGCATTTGCGAGCGAAATCTTATGTGACGGGATGTCTGCGTCTCGCTCGTCCTCTGCTCTCTCGCCTCCAACGTCTGTGCTCTCATAGCGACACCCAGTGTCTCTTGTCCGCAGACTGATGGACCACCCAAAACCACCCCTACATATGGTGTAATATAATAAGAGCCATTATTATCGCTGTGAATGGTTATCATACAAATAGAAAAATAAAAATAGAAAATAGAGCAAAATAGAGCACGAAACAATACCTTTCAGCAGGTCGCTCTTATTCATGAAGAGAATGATAGAAACATTTGAGAAAGCCCTATTGTTGACGATCGTTTCAAACACCGACCGCGATTCGACAACTCGATTCGTTCGCCGATCTTCGAGAATCACCTCAAATAGAGAATTAGGGTGGTAGTTGATCAGCCTGACCTTGAGATGCGCTAAACATTCTAATACTTCTATAAGAGTTGCAGGGAAACATGAATGAGTTCTGGGCAACTTGGTAGCTTTAAGGACCAGCCCACGCATGAGTCAGGGATGGGATCGGAGGTTTAAGTAGGCTGAGCAAAATTTAGACACAGCGAGCACCCGAAGTAGCGTGAATTATAATGTTCTGCTGTAGTCACGTACAATGCGCGACGCATTGACGCGCTGAAGTGCGTGCTCGCCTCCCACTATTCGTTTTCTCTGCGCTCTCTCAAAGGAGAGAGAATATGTCGAGCCAACCCGCCAACTATACTGAGCGCCGTTCATGTAGGAGGTGGAGGATGGCACGCAGAGTGGCCTCGCGCCTAGTCTAGCGCGGCACCCGGGGATAACCTCCCCTAGCCTGCGCGCGAAGCGCGCGCAGCGTTCAGCCAGCGAGGCGAACGCTGCGACGCTAATCCATCCCTTGGATTGCTGCCCAATGGGGGTAGCCTCATTGTGAGCAATGAACCCATAGGATTGTCATTGCAAAA